AATTTTCTCAGGCTCTTTGCACTAAAATACAAAAAAAAAAAAATAAAAAAATTGTGTGCTCCTGCCACAGGGCAACAAGATGTGGGTCAGAAGACATAGTGCTAACAGCAAAGCAGTGTGGATGTGTCTGGTCTTCTTTAAAAGGGGCTTGTCTGCAGCAATAGAGCAAGATGTTGTTCTGCACCAACATTTGCAAACCTGGGACTGCTCTCTGGGATGGGTGCTTTCAGAAAAGAGGAAGTAACATGAGTATTCAGAATCAGAAAGTGTAGAAATAAACCTTGAAATAATGTGCATTCTTCTCAAAATGCAGCCATCTCTGTGAACACACACAAAAGGAAAAATAGGAGAAATCCTGCTAAAACAAAGCATGGCTCTATGATCCTTCCTTTTCTACATACATGATGGATAAGGCATGCTAGTCCTATAGATTGTAGTCACAAAGTGTATGAAAGTAAAGCTGGGGGGTTTTGTTGTTGTTTTTTGGTTGGTTGGGGTTTTTTGTTTGTTTTGTCCTGCTTATTTTTCCCATCATCTGAGTTCTTTGATTGAGTAGTAAGAGGATGATCTGGGCTGTAAGGAATTTAAAAAAAAAACAACAACAAAACCTACCATCACAACCCCAAATTAACATTGCCACGGTCAATAGGCCAGGCTCACTGGAAGCTGCTCAGAAGGACGTTTCTGTGATTTTTAAATCCTTGACCATAAAGTGTATGACTCTTAAAGTTCCAGAAGAGCATTTCCTACCTATTTTGGAAATAATAATTCTGTTATAAATTTCATTTGCAAAGAAAAATGCTGGGAAATTATTGTCAATATATTCCCCCCCCCCCCCCCCCCCCATTTTATTTCTAATTCCACTGCGCTAAAACCCCGAGTCACTCTTCTGGAACAGGAGGAGCCCATATTAACTTATACACAACCATGGAACAAAATGTCAGTTTATGTATGTTCTTAATTCTTTTTTCTGGCCATCTGGCATCCATTCAGAAAATTGCTCTAGTATGATGCTCATCGGGTAGCAGCATTTAAGCATCTCATATTTAAATTTCCAAGTTTAACCTACTCACACTTGATCCATCTATGCAAGTAGACATAGTTAATCTCAGAAGGCAATTCAACTTATTCTAAGAAAAATGTGTAATTTACCTCATAAATTTACATTTTGACAATTGAACTGAATTCCTGTCATTGTCCAGTAAAATTACCTGCTCATTTAAATGCACTCCTGAATTAGTCCTGATAACACAGACCTATGGGAAACAACTATTTACTACTGTCTTGGGCAATTTCGTTTGACAGCAGGCATCTGATCAAAAAAGAATGGGAGCACAATCCAGAGTTATCAATCTCTGGAAGTTGACAACAACAGTGCAGATGACACATCCTATGATTTACAGCAGCAGTCATTTAAGACTAATAGCAGAACTAGTTAACCTTTCACAGCGCAAAGTGTGACAGTTCTACAAAAGCAACAGCTTCTGTTGCCATCACCACAGCAAATTTAAAACCCTTGACTTCTCAGATACCCTGCAGCAATTTAGTTAATTAACCATCACCATTTAATTGTTAATGGATTTTTAATAAATTTGGTCCTATAAAAAGAGGTGTACTGTCATGTAAAAACCACTAATGTATCTAATCGTAGCTATATATTTTTAGGAATTGATTAGGTACTGTTAACTTGTTCCTAACGTGAACACAATGCTGCTGTGCATGCCTGTGGTCCTCTTGCGGTACATCAGTAAGTCTGCATTTGATATATATGTAACAGGTATATTATCGTACAAACTCAGCTTAAATATTTCTTATCCCTTTCAATATTTACTCTATCATATGTTTGTAGAAAGCACTTTCATCTTTTTCCAGTACTTGTTTCCTAGGCTAAATAAGAAAGTAATGGTTTTAGTGGTTTATTATATGGTTCTTTGAAACAGTGATAATCATGGTTTACACCTGTTTCATCTAGAATTCACCTTTATTGAGGCAAATATTAATATTCAAGTTACAAATTATTTTTCCAGTGTCTTAGCCATATTAGTACTTTCCTAGGAAGATATGCAATGTCTCTTTCACTGTATTTACTTTTTTCGGAGTTGCATTGTAACATTTGTTTATCATCATCCAACGTACCAAAATACCCACAATTGGTTCCATTCACACATCACTTATGATTGATGTTTTCTAAACTTATATAAGAATGCAAAAGGTTGTGACTGGGCACTGTATTTTGAGCTATTCCTACCAATGCAATCCTCGGGGTCATCCGATCCCATGACACCCTGAGCAACTTTATTTCCATCATATCAGCCAAAGAACATTCATGTCCAGCTCAGCACACCGTGAACTCTCTCAACAGTTCATAGACAGTTCATTATTAACAATTCCCCTCATCAGTGTATCCCTATTTCCATTTAAAGAATCAACTCCACCAAGCAATGTAAATTTGCTCTATTCTTACACACCTGTCAAAGCAAAGATATAATGAACATACATGAGAAAGAGGGGGAAAAGCCATGCAACAGAAGGAATAGGAATCTCTTCTCAGTCTTTAAGATTTTGCTAGGTTTTGAAATGGTGATTTATTTTAGTGCAATGTTTCATAAGGCTGGTGTTAAGGCTTTTCCACTGCATGCTGTGGGAGAAATGAAAATTAGTACAGAAGCATGAGAGAGCTATCATGCTTCATGTGCTCGCAGCTGGAGATCATTGTTTTCCCCATGAGGCTTAAATAGTGAAGCAGGATTGTTTGTTGTAAAGAGTATCTGGGGATACAGAATAGTCCATGGAAAATTTCCAGAGGCTGAAAAATGGTGCTGGAATTTTCAAACACATTCTGATTTACTGGAACCATTTCTCCCTTTTTCTAGCTCACAATGGCACAGGTACATCCAACCTACCTGATATCGTTTTAGGTTGAATGCACATCTAAGTGAAAAAGAAGTTACTAAGGCAATCAGAAAAGAGAAGGACCTAACAACTGTTGCAAATAGACCTTAAAGGACAGAGAGGGAATAAAGTAAAAAAGCCAAGCATATTTTCCAGAAAAGGCTGTGGTTAACTAAAGATTGCCTGAAATTAATGTTAGGTTTGTGCTACAGCTGTCCATGCTGGGCTTTTTTCATGGTCAAGCATTGGAGTCAGTGCAAGAACCAGTATTGATCAAAAAGCCAGATTTATGCAACATCTTTCAGGTATGTCATGTCTTCATCAGTGATTTTGGTAGTTTACACACAAAGCAGAGGAGGCATTATAATTTTTTCTTGTATCTGTTTCCAGTCATTCAAAATCCACAGTTTAGCCAAGCTAGACCCACTGGGCACTCAATACTTTCCAGAAAAAGAGCATCGTAACAGATTAATAACAACAGGAACATTGTTGGCTTTTCCTTCTTTGATCCCAACTACCGACGTTTTTTTCTGCTGCCATCACAAGATGAGAGCTCCATTCTCTTTGCACAAACATGTAGCAGAAAGCAAGATGCTATTATTGCATGTTCAAACCTATAGGAAGTGTTTTGTGATGATGAAATACGGTGAAAGAATCACTTGCCTCCTAACAGTTCCTCTCCCACAAACTGAAGAGCTGACCCAGCTGAAGCCTAGTGGCAACCTTGTTATTGACTGTAACTAAGTGAGATTCCAGCTTCAGTTCATAAGGAGGGTTGGTGGCCCAGGTGGTAGCTGTGATTACTTGTTATTAAATTTTTATTAATGATCCCCCAAAATATTTTAAGTCGGCAAAACAATAGAATGTATGATTGCTCATGGACATCCGTGAAACTACAGCTGGCATTTTTAGTGGGGATTATTCAAGTTTGGTTATCCATTTGTGATACAAGTAAGTAATCTCTGAATGCCACTTGTTAACTTTCTACTCTTTAAGAAAGAAGCTTCTCCAGATGTATCATAATCGTTTACTTTCTGCAGAATTTCTTTGCTCCTTACAACCTCTTGGCACCAGCTCCTAGAATTTCCTGGTAATGCGTTAAAGCTCCAGCCTGGTGGCTCCAGAAACTAGGTAATAAAGACCCCCAGGGGCTTAACAGTTTGATTTCTTTTTTAACTAATGTCTAAAGGGAAGAGGAAGGTGAAATAATACTTTACAGTAGCAGGACAATGGCTATAGAAGCACAACCCCTTTTATGACCCAGTGCTATTACAGACGGTGCTTTGCTGAGGGCATGGGCTCTGCTTACACCACCATCCTCATTTAGATGTAGCCATGCTCTGGTCTGCCTGGCTTCAGCAAAGCCTTGTGGGAGGACAGAGAGGGGAAAGGCAAAACAGCTTTGCCTACATTTCATTCTGCGCCTTCTCTCCATCTCTGGACTGATTTAGAGAGAAATCCATACAATGTAGGAATAATGGCTCTGTATTTCTGCCCACATAAGAAGGGAAACCACCTTTACTTTCAAAGGTCTCAGTGAGCACTTCCCTTTAAATTGTATGAATAGTATTGCTCTATATATGTAAGAAGGTGAAATGAAATGCTAACTTCACCAAAGTCTTAATTCATTGCCTTTCAGAATCTTTCTTTTTAATACTCTGTTGAATGTTCTCCTTTTTTTTTAATTTCCTTTTTTTTTTTTTTTTCCTTTAAGAGATAATTTCAGAATTTTGTAGGAAAGGTTTCTGGAAAAGTGAATTGTGGTGACCATTACATGACTTGTAATGACTCTTAGAGAAATTTGTATTCTTGGGAAAAAAGCTCCTCTGAAGCAAATACATTTGAAGCATATAATCTAGTTATACAATTGTACTGCATGTATCTACCATTTGTTCAGCCAAGCAATACAATATCCTTATACCCTTGACTAAAAACCATAAGCTGTCCTGAAAAAAAGAAGACAATAAAAAAAAAATCAATCTACAAAACCCCCAAACTAAAAAAAATCCCAAAACAAACAAACCAGAAAACTCTACTTCTTTCCAAGTTAGAAAGATGCATTCAGTTTCCTTTTACATTAATGAGGGTTGCTTTTTCTGCTTTTCCAGGTAAAACACAGGTTATGGGTGAAATCAAGATTGCATTAAAGAAGGAAATGAAGACAGATGGAGAACAGCTGATAGTAGAAATCCTTCAGTGCAGAAATATCACATACAAATTTAAATCTCCAGATCATCTACCAGGTATCACACAGAAACCAGCTTCATGATACTGTGAAAACATTAAGTAGGATGTATCTGAAGTCATTTAACATCACCACTAAAATGGGAAAGAAAATTGCTTCTTAACCAGAATGACATATTCTATAGGATTCTTTTTGAAGTGCTTTTTTTCTGTGAGCAACTTTAATGAAAGCAAAAACATTTTGTAGAAGCAAATTAACTCTCAGAAGTTAATCCTCTTTTTAATTTACTTTTGATTGTTAAAAAATAATCCTTTTTTAACTTTAATAAAAATTATAAATCCCTAGGTTATTAAAGAACAATGATATCTAGTGAAAAATTGTATTCTGGTGAAAAAGCTTTTTAAAAATTAAAAAATCAGGTTAATAATAATATTTTTATACAGACATAAAGACATAAAGGTATTTGTTCCTTTAATGACAGCACTCTAAACACAAAGTAATTCCCTTGGATTTAGTGGGGTGGTTCCATTTCTACACCATGTGAATGAGAATAGAATATGGCTTTGTAGAGTACCATGCTCTGTTTCTTCACAACACTTCCCTTCTGTTGAAAACATTAGCAACAATGATTAATTAAAAGCTTCTGCATTTAACTCATTGAACTGTTCTTCCCCAGACCTGTATGTGAAGCTGTACGTTGTCAATATCTCTACCCAAAAGAGAGTAATTAAGAAGAAAACCAGGGTATGCAGGCATGACCGAGAGCCTTCATTCAATGAAACATTTAGATTTAGCTTGAGTCCTGCTGGGCATTCTCTTCAGGTAATTCTGCATTTTATAAAAACCTAATTTTGGATGTTGTCCATGCTGTGCTATGGGCATTTGAGATCAATCTTCTACCCCATTTGTTTGCTGAAAGGAGAAAATTACAAAGGAAATAACACAATTACATAATAATGGAAATATCAGGCTGGAGGAGACTTTAAAAGATGGTTCAATCTGTCACCCCATACTGAGGAGAGGTATTTATAGACTGGGCCTGAAAGATTTAGGCTTGATCTGTTCTTCAAACCCCCTAGAGAAGGAGGTTATGCATTCCTTCAAAAAATAATTTTCTGTGTATTTAGAAAGTTCAGCGTAATATCTAACTTAAATATGCCGTATTTTTAAATTAAGTTCACTTATCTTTAAGTATCCTCACAAAGCACAGAGGAAAACTGATCTGCTTTCCTTTTATAAAAAAAGTTTGCACACTGAAAGGTTGTTATCATATCTCTCCTCTTGTTTCCCTAAGTAAAGAAGAAAGGCTAAGTAAACCATATTTCTTTGATATGTCCTGTTGCCTAAATGCCTAATCATTTTATCATTCTCTCCAGTTCTTCAACTTCTTTAAAAGTTTTGGTGCCTAGAATTAGACACAATAGTCATAATCTTGGACATTGCAAAATTACTGATTATGCCAAGTCAAATATTCTCTGTGTACATTGTAAAGGAGATGACGGTATTTTCTTTGGCACATCAAATGATGTGTGGAACTGATTCAGGAATAGTACCTCTCCTGTGTTTTAGTTGCTTAGACAGATTTGATCATTTGGTCAGATCTGCTTTTTCAGATAGGTAGGATTCACTTTAACTACCTTAATTTACTTTCACATGAGTAGATTAATATAAGCCAGATACTCAGGCTTCTTCTAGTCAGGGGGAAGGAAACGACAATTCCAGGGGTAACTGCAAGTTAATCTTAAAAGTAAGTGGGAGGAATTGTTGGGCATACGAGCATCCACTTAATGTACCTTTCAATTTGGAAGACTGACATAAACAAGCCAGCTACATTTTGATGACTAAAGTTAGACTGGATTATCTAAGTGCCTATGTTAGGCTTATTGGTTGCATCATTAAATTTAAAGCCAAAATGGATGCTGCTTACAAAACAAGGCCAACAAAAATAGATACTGTTTTCCTTGTGTTAAGGTGTCCTAACATCCTTATTGATTCAATAGACTCGGTGAAAGACTATTTAAGATGTTATATTACCTGGGAAAATCCAGAGTGGTCAATAAAGTCTTGCCAAAATTTAAGAGCTAAAATATTTGTAAAAGCTTTGCTTCCAGTGGTGGTTTGAAGAGGAAAACCATAAGGGGTGAGTAGACCAGTAAAGAAGAACCCACAGAGTCCTATGGAAAAATAATCCCTCAAGTTGTTAAGGAAGGAGATAGTGAGGGAGTTAGCCATAGGAACAGTCAGCCTGAGACTTGGCAATATTTCCGCAGTAACTCTGTGATATGTACTGGTGCTGCACACCAGGCCTAAGAGAACGAAGACTGTAAAAGGAGCAGGGAACGAGTTTAAAACACACAAAAGGTGTTTCTTCTCACACAACTTGGAGTTTGAGCTGTAAAATTTATTGCTGTAATATATTGTGGATGCTAAATATTTTCATGGAAAACGTAACTGGAGAAAATGATTGGGCAAAATACCTCATAAGCCTGTTAAATACAAACATGCCATTGTGAGTCAGGAAGTCAATCGTCCACAGATCATAGTAGGTATTTTGGGAAAGTGTCACTACATGATTGTCTTGTTCTTAATTTCTGCCTTATACACTGCCCTATACACTTTTGGAAGCAGAATGTTTGCCTGGAGAGGTCTTTGATCTGACTCAGTACATCTGTTTATACATGCTCTTCGTACTTATCAGTCAATTTGTTCCTGTGGCAAAGCATGAAGTTGGCTGATTTGAATGTTGAATTTGAGTGATGCACATCTAGGGGCAAAGAGATGGACATTGTCAAAAGAGATTTGGGGGAGGGGGACATGAAACAAAACCAGAATGTATAGAACAGAAATGGAATTGGGAGATTAAGGCACAAAGTAATATCAGAGAGAGGGACTAAAATGAGATCAAACATGGTAATCATAGAAGGTACGTTGTAAAGAGACATGAGAACCAACTGGAGGCAGAAATTAGGACAAGGATCTGCACTGTAAAAATCAACAACAAGAGCTGTGAATATTAGCAATAAAAATGGGACTATGGACTATTGGGAAAAAAAAAATTTAAAAAAAGGAGAGAAGAAAATAAAAGCTAGAACTTTCTGGTCAGGAGTATTGGGAATAAGGAAAAAAAAAAACCCTGAGACTAGATGATTCAGGATAACAACTCTGGAATTTAAAGCCTGGAGCAGGGAAGAAACAAGGCTGAGAGACAGACAAGCTGGAGAAGACAGATACTAGGGATCCAGCTGGGAGGAGTGGAGAGAAGGATCAGGGACAGAAGTGATGAAAAATTTGTCAGAAATTTTTTTCTGTCCTGAAACTGTTGATGTGTCAGAATGAAAACATTCTGCAGAAAACATTTTGACAGGTTTCAGACAGGCACTTGCCTCAGCCCCTGGCAGCTTGCTTGCTCGCTTCCCTGGTTTCCCTATTCCCTGGCAACCCACCTGGGTTTCCTTCTGGAAGACACTAAGCTCCTGGCTCCTTCACCTTGTTCCCTAGCTGGCCTCTGACTGACTGGCTTGCTGCAATTAGAAATATATAATGTCCTATGTGAGGGTAATCAGAAAAAAAGGGAAGAATGTTTTTCACAGATGTTCTGGTTGGCTTGCCAGCTTCTAGACTGTCCATTTCTTCAGGAAAACACTGAGCCAGGTGACCTAGAAAGCCACCAGCAGTAGAGGCAGGCTGCCTATTTTCCCCAAGGATGGGCTTTCTGATGAGTGAGGTGGAGTTCCCTAACAGCTCATTGCCTAAGGGTCATTTTGTCTTTCCTCCTCAAACCTGTTGACTAATGGGCATGTAGGTGTCTAAGCTGTCTGGGTACATACCTTACTTGCCAACTGATATCAAAATTGGCCAGGGAACAGGGAAGATCATCCAGGAAAATGATTGCAATTTTTTTTCCTTTTTTTTTTTTATTTCCATTGTAATGTAAATTTTGCATTTGTTACTTTGTTTCCCAAATCAGAATGGAAAATTTTCAATATTGTCGAAGGTCTTGATTACTGGAAACTATAGTTCTTCTGCAGTTGTGTTGCATGTCTACTGCCGTATGGTCTCTTCCAGCATCTCAGTGGAGTACAAAATCCTTGACTTCTGCCATTCTTCTGTTAGCCTAGATCTTTGAAACCAAGCAACAAAATGCCCTATTTTCTCTCCTGCTGGTTCACTCAGAGGGTAACAGCCTCCTACTGTTATCAGTTACCTCCCTTGCGCATTGCGAGAGGTCTGCTCAGTGACCGTGAATATTAAAAACCTGCTGCTAATCCTATCATGGAAATGCAGTTTTTCATGAGTTGTTTTTCTTTTTGAAAAACTTAGGAAGCTGATAAAAAAAAAAAAAAAAAAGCATTGAGCTTGTTAATTCAGTTCCTCAGTAATTAAGAAATGGTAAAATCCATCTGAATGTGTAACTATAACTGACCCCCTGAAGTATATATATTATCAAAAGTATTTCTCCCAGAAACACATAGAATGAACCTAGAGACCCACAGAACGAATCAAGTCCTTCAGAGAAGTCTATTGCTTGCACGGCATGAACCTGCTTAGCTGGAAAACATGTGCCTGTAGGATATGTCAGGGAAAGCCTTGAACACCCAGCCTGCACAGCTCCCAGAAGTGCCGGGGCTGTTCCTCGCCCTTCCCACTCACCGTGGCTGGGCGAGCAAGAGCCGTAAGACCAGACGCAATACTGTGACTCTCAGCAGAGCCACAGCAGGAAGGAGATTTCAGACCAAGTCTACATTTTAGCTTAGACTACTGCTTGCTGAGGTCAGAAACCAGAACTCTGGACTTTCTCACACGCTAGTCTGCTCTGAGTTACAGCCTATATATGTAGGGCACCCTCTGACTCCCGTGCACTCAAAAAGGGCCGGTACTTTGCCTGCACAAAGCTTTACCCTGTAACTTAAAACTTGACCTTGTGTTCGTCTTTGGCAACCAGCAGGTGAACAAATTGCTCACTGAATTTTAGAATTGTCATCCAGTTGCTACATCCCATGATAATAAAATCGAAGAGAGGGAAGGTTCAGTTTTCACAGGACTTCCTTTCTATTGGAAAGATGACTCTGTAGAAAGGCTCATGGTCAGTGTTTCTTTCCTCCTCTGTGGGTACAAAAACAGAGCTCCAAGTTTCTGAATTTTTTGTGTTTGCCAGCAAACGCAGTATGTTGATATGCACAATGATAATTATGTGCATAATGATAATTATGTTTTATTATTATTATATTTCCAGATTCTGCTTGTCTCCAATGGAGGGAAGTTTATGAAAAAGACACTGATTGGAGAAGCTTATATCTGGCTTGACAAAGTGGATCTAAGGAAAAGAATAGTAAACTGGCACAAACTGTTGGTCAGCTCCACACAAACACACTGAGCAGAGCTGTCTGCTTAGGGCACAAAACCTGCAGAGTCTGCTATAAACAGCATTACTCCAAGACTATAGTTTGATATCATTGTGTTTAGCTAGTCTTTCAGAATACAAAGTAGAAAAGAGCAGTCTCTGGGCTACATAGCACACTTAAATGAGGGCTAGTACACTTGTTTTGCTGCAAAAGACAGCAAAGTAAAAGAAAACCTGGGCCCAGAAGTTAAAGTAAGGCTGTTTGAAATGAAGACTGATACGAGGGCTCCGTGTTGTTGGACTCTTTGTGAAGAGAGTAACTGTGAAGGAAATAATGAAGGCTGGAAGGCAGGTGTTAATGCAGAGTTCGGCTGCAGCCGGAGGTAGTGTGATGGAAAGAGCAGTCTGGTTTTCTGTGCAACCAGAAGGAGATCATTTTATGCAAAAGCACCTAGGGTGACTGACTTTCCGAATCTCACTTATCAGAAGTGCAAAACTTGTTCCTCTGCACCTTAGGATCTCTGATAATTTGCTGTAGTGAGATTATGCCACTTGACACAAACAGCAATGTGTTTGCAAGAGTGGTAATGTTATTTTACATTACTTTTTTCCTTCTTTCTTTTTCTTTCAAAAACTATGCTGTGGAGAATCAGATCTGATTGTTTCCTTTGTTTCTGTCTGTTAACAATGAGTATAAACCACTGTCCTAGAATGTAATGGATAAAACTATATTAATGGTCTATAATTTAGGATGTGGTTTTAAAGAGAAAGGACGGGATGTAACCTGCACTACATCAGGAAGAAAAAATGCTGTTTCGATGTCAGTGACACTGTACTTCACCTTACCCTATGAATCAGCAGTTTTTAAAAAGCTTGGAATTGAAGAGTTTTAAGCACCGGAACTAACACAATTATTTCAACTAGTCCTTCCATTTTTCAGCAACAAGTCTTGTTCTGAAACCGTACAGAGACGATGAATTCTAGGTTATTTTGTGGGCACTTCGGAGCAATAGACCCACCGTGCTAACACCGGCCCTCTCGGTGCAGGGCTCTGTATCAACACCAGTGACACACTTGAAATCTAAGGGGAAAGGATAGCAGGGCAGTTACTGCCTGGATGCTGTTGCATTAGAGAGAATTAAGAATATCCTTTCGCTATCTCAGGTGAGTGTCTGAGTATAATCCACTCAACAGCGTGGCTTCTCAGTTAGGAAAGAAGTAAATAGGAGGGTAACTTGCACCATTTAAGACTGTGTCAGCACTTCCACGCTTAAAAGTCCCACTTTCAGGGGCTTGAAGCCGAGCAGTTAGCTCACTTGGGAAAGGCTTAGGCTAGGTGTTGTATTTTCCATTGTGCCATTTTTGAAGAAGAAGGGAGAGATTCTTCTCCCATTCCTAAAAGTATAGCAGTTCCTTCAAAAAACAAGAATCAGTATGGTACTAACTCCCGTTTACTTGGAAGTTGTTTAATATTTCACAGCTTCATTAAAAAGTAGTTTCCCTGAAAATATTACCCGATGACCTTTGCATATTTAAAAAGAAAATGACCAAACGTCTGTACTTCAGACATTTATTTTTCTTGCCCATGAGGACTTTTCACAAAGTATGTAATGTACTTCTTCTTATATTTTCTGAATATATGTAGTACACTTCCACAGGTTGTGCAAGACCAACTGAAAATATTCTTCTGGAAAATAATATGTGCTTTAAAAAGAAAGAAAAATAAGGCTCAGTTTATTCAGAAGCCGGACTGACCATGAAAAGCTACACCATTTAATCTGGTGACAATTCCCACATAGAGTTTTTGATTTATCTTTGTCAACTTAAAATAACAGCGTGGAAAAGGAATATGAGAAGAAACACACAGAAGATTTTAATGCTACACACACCAAGGAAACTCCTGTTATTGATAACCTGCTGGTAGCCTGCTTAACTTGCAAGCAGAGCAATCTTACCAAAATCTTATTAGCTGTCTTAAAAACACAACATCACTGACAGTGGAAGTAGGATGTGTGCTTTAATGTTGAATTTTATGCTTTCACCAGTATATGTATACCCTACCTCTCATATATTTTAAAAACAATCCTCTGGAGTTATTGTAAACATCCTATATGTTTTGATGTTGTGTATGTTTTTATAAGAAGATAAATACTTCAAAGAAAAAATCCCCGATTGAACCAAAAAATCCTATGTGGATATATTTGACGTATGTGTTGCTCTTTTGGTGGGTTATTTTGCATTCCTGATGGCTATAGCGTGTTCTCTCTTTGAAAAAAGACCAAAAAAAAAAAAAAAAGTCCAGTTTCAATTACTGTGTGAAGTACAAGCCATGAGGTGTGCAATTTTGTGCAAACTGCTGGTAATTTTGTTCTTGCTAAGATTTATTATAAAGACAGCAAGTCACGCTGGTAGTTGCTATGGAGATTTCCAGCAGGAACGAGCACTATCTGGCTGCCTTACTGGGAAGCCTGTAATCATCACTCTTAATTGAGAAAGCGGACAGGCGTGCTTTGCTCTCACACACATACAAATGTGGCCAATATTTTTATAAAATAGTTGTGTTGGGTGGTATAGCTGCGGCTGTATGGAACAGCTACCTTTGTGGGGTAATCGGCTGTCGGCAACTTTGATTCTCTGAACAACACACAAAATGTTTCTGCATGTTGAAATGGCAGTTTTGGACTCCTATCACGAAACACAAAGAGTAGAGTTTGTCAGGAACGCGGCACGGCCTTGACCAGCTACAGCAAGGACAGGGCTCCTTTGGTGTCACCCAGGATGGGCTAGTGACAGACCTGGGTCCATGCTCTCCCTCTGTTTCGAGGCAGCATCATTCAGAGGTCAGAGGATGCTTCCAAAGTGTGCCAAGTTCCGTTTTTTGACCAAATTTCTAGGTTGTACTGGAATCACTCTATGCAACACAGATTCATGTTTGAATGCATTTTTTTTTCTTTTTTTTTTTCTTGTTTTATGAATGAAGTCAGGAAAAACTCTCTTGTGACAATATTTTTTAAAAAATAATCAAACAAGGACTATTAGTATTTTTTTACTTTTTTGTATAGATCTCAGTATATTTTTTTCACTTTTTTCTCATTAATTTTGTTTCTTTTATCTGGCCAAAAGTGTTTAGATGTGGCAACAGCTTTTATCATATCTGAGTGATTGATTATTAATGAGTTCACACATTTCTACAATTGCTTGGAAGACACATATTGCAGGAAGGCAATAGCAGAGACATTTTAACTTTTTTTATTCATAAATCTGCTGAGTCAACAGAGATTGAAGCTGCTTCTTTGTTCAAGGCCTTGTATAGTGGAAACAAGCTGAAAAATGAGCAAAAGCACAGTGTGTGTGTTTACAAATGACAGGGATTTCTAACGTTATCATTATTATTATTATGCATACAATGAGCAGCAAACAGCCAGGTTTTTTTTTCCGGGTTAAAACTAGACATGAGAGTTTCTATGATGAATGTTGAGCTAGTTCTTTATCATTACACTTTAAAGGGATAGTATCCAGGGGCAATGAGTGCTGCTTCTTTATTATTACCCATGTTTTTACATTACATGGATCCTGTGTGGAAGAAACAAAAACCCAATCCAAACCAGCTGAAGTCAATAACAACCAATCTGTTGACTTAAACTGGCTTTAAATCAAGACCTAGGAAATATTTGCATGGTTAGGCTGTGGGATATGGTAGCTGGTAACCAGCTGATATTGATTCCTACTTTGAGGATGATGATGAAGAAAAAGAAGACATCTATTATATTGTAAGCTAGTGTGTGCCCAATAGAGATTATTTAATTAGGATTTAGTTTCATGGAGATATCATAAAGATGTTAATAGTATTTTTTTAAATTATTATTTGAATCATAACTGACACTATTTTTAAGTACTTTATTTTCATTGCTACAATGTTGAATGTCCCAGATTTCATTATTTGAGTATATATCTAGATATGTACATACCTATGTGAATAACGGAGAAAATTTGCATTTATGTGAGTGTAACTTATAAAGGTAATGAAACAGAGAGGAAATTTAGTGTAAGTATCCACCTACATTATATTTAAACCCTAGTCCTACATGCCTTGTGAATTTTCAGTACACCTGGCATGCAGGATCAGTTGCTCTTTATGAATACATGTTGCCTTTAGAAGGAAAACAGAAGGAATAAGTGAAACCGGATACTCTCTCTTTAAATCATGAGAAGCATTTTAATGTTTTCTATATGTTCTGGTTTATTATTTTGAAAAGATTAGTAAGCAAATATATTGATGAGCTCAAAATTATAATATATATAGATATCCATAACTCAAAATAGATGATTTGAGCAAAAGCCGTTTTCTTAATTTGTTACCCTGTAAATAGGTATACATTTTTGTAAAACAAACTGAGTTTAAATTATTAACTCCATCTGACATCCAAGCATGTGAATGTGTCCTTATTTGATTGTATCTTATAGATGTTCAGTGACGTGCTCAGGTGCTCAACAATGGCTGACTAGCGTGTGTGCTGTCATGCTACGGACAATGTGTACAGCATACCCAATGTTTAAAAAAATGCAAAAACACCAAAAAACCCACAAAAACACAAAAAAAAAGATTAGTCTTTGGAGAAATGTAATGTTTCCACAGTGAATGTTGCATGCATAGATGGTGGTTTGTTGATATTCATTTTGGTTTGAATTTCTTTTAATTTTCATTTTGCTTCCAGATTCATCAGGAAAAAAAAAATACAGACTTGTTCTAAAAGTTGTAAAAACTGAAACAAAAATGGTATGAGAATTGTATAAAAATGCTTGTAAATCTGTCTCAGTTTTCACTTTATGTATAAATCCATGTCATGGTTTTGTGATTGTATACAGGATGTATCTTGAGAACTTATGCAAATTGTGCTGTATAAAGGCTGTTATCCCAGTCTGACAAATAAATATTTAAAATATCTGCTTTGGTTTCTTTTCCCTAATTAACAGGAAAATCTATTTTGCTGGTTCAAATTTACTATTTGTTGACCACAGTGGTTTTATTGTAA